CGACGAGATCGTGTCAAAGTGCAATGAAGTCAGCGGGAAGAGTTACTTCAACTGAGACTGTTTCTTCCCTCTGCTGCTCGGCACCTGACGTCTAGACCCCGGGTTCCCTGAAGAAGGGCACCCAGTGGTGGTTCAGGAAGGACTGGGAGGCGGCATGGAGCCTGGGGCACACACTCCTGGGGGATAAATGGGTGGGAAAGGGGACGGGGTCAGCAGGACTCTAGTCCGACTGTCCCAAAGAATGAGTCGCTTCTGAAGAAGGCAGAGCTTTGCGAGGCGACACCCGGGGCTGGCAGCTTCTGGGTTCCAGCCGTTTACCCCGCTATGAGAACCAGTGGCGGCTCGACTGGGCTTGCTAAAGAGAGTAGAGACAGTTGTAGAGTGTCGGAATTGGGGGGTCGCATCGGGTCTGATCACTGCCGGGGTCCTGCCTGGGAGAGGCCCCGTCTCTATGCTGCCCCAGGACAGTTGAGCCTGAGCGTGAAGTGCCACGCAGCGGTTTTTTCCACCTCTCCTAGGAGGGGACCGCCCGCCTGCATCTGTCGGGCCAGCCCAGGGTCCCCACCCCTGTGCTGGGTCCGCATTCGGATTTGATTATCCATGGCCGCCTCCTCCTTGGCCTTGTGAAGGTCCTGGTTGGCTGTGACTCTTGTTTTCTCAAACAGCGGTGGCTTCCCTTTCCTACTGCCAGCAAAGGGACTGAAAGAGCGGAGGAAATCCCACAGAGGCCTTGGTTGAGTCGGGAACCAATGAGGTGTGGGGCATTTAGTTAGGGACCAGAGGGATGAATAGAGTTTCTGAGTAGACTTCTAGCCAGTGTGAGGCCTCCCAGGGCTCCGACGCCCACAGACCCAAGCCCTCCTTTTTTCACAGTCCTCCAGGCAGCAATCCAGGGGCAGCTTGTGGCGAAGGTACTCAAGGTTAGCCGGTACCTAGCTCTTTGGCTGTCTGTCTGGCTAAGGTCTGAGATAACCTCCGTTCCCCCGGGTGATAGACCCCACCCGCGTGTGGATTATGTGGGTAATTAGCTTCATTCTCATGACACATCCCCTGGCAGACACATCATTTGGACACATTCCCAAAACCAGCGAGTGTGGAGGCCCCAAGTGACAAGCCTGCTTAGATCGCCATCCCAGCCCCTCCCAAGGGGTTGAGCACTATTTCAAGATTGGACCTGTTTCTATTGTTTTAAATTTGTTATTTGTTACATTTTTATTTTAACAAATGAATGTCTGATCAAGAAAGCATAACGAAGCGTCGGTAGTTTACTCAGTGGCTTCTTTTGGAATAAGGTAGGCCATAAACAAGTTGAACTTCCAGGCTGTTCCTCTGAGCAGGTCTCAGAACACAGCTGTTAACCCCAGGCAAACTAGAACCGGGTCTACAACCTATAACAGACAGTACCTATTGCCTGTGGGTTTTTGTGATGAGTGAAATGCCTGGAAGTGACTGCCGACCGACTGTAAGTCTGTAAAAGCCACTGTTTACTCTCAGCACCAGCCTCTTCTGGCCGGGGCTGCTGGCCCAGAGGGTGTCGGAAGGGGTGTGGCTTCAGTGTGGAGTCACAGGTGGAAAAGGCCTCCCCTGGGGCAGATGGGAGGAAGTCTTCTTGCCTTGTTCACCTGACCTCTTTTGCATTTATACAAACTCCAGGAGTCGTGTCACAGGTGCTACAGTGTACCCAGGCAGTCTCCAAAAGGGTAAAACAAGGGCTATAAGAGCTGCTTTGGGGTATGTAAAGAATAGGAGACTGCAGAAGTGGGGCTTAGATTTGGCGATGGAGTGGCAGGAGCAGCTCCCGTGAGTCCCAGTGGTTGGAGGGAAAGGAGTTTCTGATAGCATGCTATGTAAGTTTTAGAACTGTCCACCACTGGTGGCCATTCTTAACTGATGGAAACCTTACAAAGGTCCAGCTAGTATCCCCTAGATGGAATGAAGATGAATCCCTGGAGCAGTAGAGGGGTGACCCTGAATCACGATCCACTCTGATTCTCCCTTCTCTGCTGGTTCTTCCCTAGCACGGCCCGAGTTTTGTTTCACAAAGCCAGGAAGGCTCCTTTTCGTTCTTTGATCCCTTCAAGTCTAGGGAAGTCGTGCACCAAGTAAAATACCTCATCGTAGCACAAAAGAAGATTCTACCTCATTTCCATACAAATTTGTTATTTGCATTAAAAAATTGTCTGGATTTTCAAATTTTAAACAGGAAAGGCATGCAGCTGTGTGTAGTGCTGGCAGTTTAATTCCAGTCAGTCAGATTCCCAAGTCTGTATTTATTAAATTTCTGGACTGGGTTAGATTTGTGCTCTCGGTTCATTAGAAAAGCTTCCCAAGGAAATGGGTCCCTGAACTGCTCCTGGCATGCTGAGCTCCTGACACACTGTGGGCCAGCCACAGTGCTACTTTGCATTTCTGAATCTTTATGCAGTTGAAAAGGTGCAGACCCCTCTGCCTTGCTTCCTCCAGAATTGCCATGAGAGAGATTTTAGCTAGGGAGAAATCGACTTTTTTCTCTTTCTGTCATCTTATTCTTGGTAGATATCCATGGGCTTTTTATGCGTCCTGTTACCATTCAGGCAGGGATTATGGGGTAGAGACACAGTGCTAACTACCTCACCTTCCTGACCTTCTGTTTGGATGAGAAGGGATAGTGCTAATCTCAGGATCTGTATGGCTTCTGTCCTGTATCATTTCTTCACTGAACCAGGTCTCTCTCCAGACACTAACTAGCAGTAGGTTGGTAGCTTACAACTTAGGGCTGAAAAGCCACCTCTTTTGTTGTCCTACAACCCTGGGAGGGGGAGGTAGCTGCTTTCTGTGGACATTATGTTTGGGTTACCAAGGTGTCCCCCTCTTACTTTTTTGCTCTTTCCTCACGGGGCTTTGTCTTATGTTTAAGTCCTTTGTGGTGTGTATTACCTACTGGTTCAGATTGTGAGCGAGACCTCTCACACATAACGTCTTTGTTTCAAGCAGAAATGTGCACAAATTTTCCTGTGGACCATTTGAAGCTCTTGGAGTATTTTGATCCTCTTTTTAGTAGCACCCATTGCAGATCTGTGACATCCGAGCTGGCCCGATTACCTCTGCTGCCACAGATTCTATTTCAAAGTGGCCAGGTGAGCGTGAATCTTTGGTAACTCCATTTGGGGTCTACATCCATTTATGTGGTCACCTATTGGCTGCCAGGCACTGTGCAGGTGCAGAGGACAGTGGAATGAGAGAACCACAACAATCTTGCAACTTATCTGTCTTTTTGATTTTCATATTCTGGTTAGGAGAAACTCGTTAGTAAACAAGATCACCAAGTAATAAAGAGATCACTCTGGCTGCAGAAGACAGTGTGGTTAGGGACCTGGAGAGGCAGATAGTGGTCAGTCATGGTCTCCCTCGTCACTGAGGCCTTTGAGCCAGGGAGTTGATTTGATCTGAGCTGAGCTCTAGCTGATGCACCAAGGAAGATGGATAGAACAAGGGAGCGAGAGCATGGAGGCAGGGCTGCTGGGACCACATGTCATGGAGCAGGTGTGAGAAGGGGATGGACGCTGATTGGCCTGGCAGCCGTGGGGACATTGAGAGTCTAGAGGTTGGTGTGTGACCCACAGCACAAACCCAGAATTCTGACACAGGGTTTGCCCTCTGCTTCAGTGGGGCCATCTCAGGGGACTATGGAGTGGGAGGTGCTGGCTGAGGCTGCCAGCCTGGAACCTGGCATTTAGCAGCACAATTTGTAATGTGGTGTTTCTGTCTTTGCTATATTCATTTTCATCACCAGTGATGAACTTCTTCAGTGTTCAGGACATGGCCTCTCGCTAGACTTCAGAGCTACAGCTGGGAAAGTACCGGGAAGGCTTGGACACGGATGCAGCACCTGTCTCCTATATCCCAAACTACCATTCAGTTCTCCAGGTCTGCTCCAGTTTCCCATCGCATTGTCTTCACCTGGACGTCAGGGAGAAGTTTGATGTTACCACCAAACAGGGAGGGTGGTGCCTGATTTCATGCTATTGATCTTGTACTATGCCCTGGGTAACCATGACATCTGGGTTGCCTTTCCCAACTGTAGGTGGAACCAGTTAGAACTTACATAGCTGGTCCAGAACCTTGTGCCCACATCACAGCTTCTCCCCATGAGACCCTAAAGGAGATGCTTCTACTTCTCCAGTGGGCCTCACTGTGAGAATCCTGAACCCTGTGCCCTCAGGCTGCCCTGTAGGAACTTTGATTGTTCCATTTCAAAAATCAGTTTTGGACCTGATATTTCTCTATTTTGGTGACACATTCCAGAAGTAAAAGGAAATCCATTCATGCATTGTGCATAGTTGGA